CCCGGTCCCAGCCCGGCCCACCATACAGCACTATCGCACAACGAATAATTTTCGGCGAATGAGTTCTGTACTGCTACCCGTAGTGTGAACACAGTAACTCATAGAAATCTTGGTCACTAGTCGGCAATGATAATTTACCTTCCACATAAAATAGTTGTATCTGTGAAAGAAGGGGATAGAAGTAGATTAATTTAGTTGGGGTTAAAATAGTAAAGTGCCTTAGATGTATACATATTAGCAAGCAGGAAATACACATACAGGAGGTTGTGACTAAATATTAGCAATTGGTACAATATCATTGTCTTCTGGCGCCAGCACAAGTGACAAAGCAGCCCTCGAAGAATTTTGCTGACTGTATCTCATCAATCTAATGATGGTGAGTATTTCCTGTAAATACTCAGTACAGGGGGAATCTACCGGGTGCAGTCCCGTAGTTCCAATGTAAATGTGCAGGGGGATCTCCCAGAATATCGTTCCGTAGTTCCAAAGTAAACATGCAGGGGGATCTCCTGGGATACCGTCCCGTAGTCCCAAAGTAAAACACGCAGCAACAACGCAAGGAAATACTCAAATAAGCTCAATTTCGTACGAAGTAAAAATAGGTAATTCTAGCCTAACATGCTACACGTAATGCAATTAAGGCAGTTTAAGCAAATAAGCAATTAATTCAACTAAACATGCTTCTTCTAAGCTAACAACAAGCTAAATTTGTAAGTAGTATAAAACAGGAAAAATGGGCACAATTGAAATAAATTAAAGAAATTAGATTTTCAACAATTAGCTCAAGTACGCACTCGTCATCTCACGTACAAGGCATTTCAATTATCAAATATACCAAATCCTAAGGGGAAAGTCCCCCACACAAGGTTAGGCAAGCCACTTACCTCGAACTGGCTCAAAATCAACCTGAGACTACGTTCTTGCCACGAGTACTCGACTCCAAATGGCCCAAATCTATTCAATTCAATTGCATAAACTAAATAACACTTCAAGTAACTGATTCTACAATTAAATTTTAAGCTAATACGTGAAATTAGGTAAAATGACCAAACGTCCCTCAGGCCCACGTCTCGGAATTGCGTAAAATTTATATTTCCAGAAACCTCACACTCTCACGAGCTCGGTCATACCAAAAGTACCAAAATCAGACCTCGATTGGTCCCTCAAATCATCACTCAAAGGTCTCCAATTAGTCAAGCCCTAACCCCCCAATCACCGCTGATTTTCCTTAATTTTTCATGCTTAAATTGATAAAAATCATTTCAATAACGAGTTTAGGAACCAAAGACCTTACCCCAATGAACTCCTCTGAAAATCCCTCTTGAAAAGTGCTCCCCAAGCTTCTTCCCGTTTGAAAGAGATGAAAAATGGCTAAATTTTGCGAAGGCAAGAATTTATATGTTTCCGCCCAGCGATTTCCGCTTCTGCGGCCCTGGGACCACATCTGCAGTCCCGTTTCTGTGGACCAAGGTCGCATCTACGACTTTTCATTTAAAGGCCGTCTTCCGCAACTGCGGTCTCCACTCGCAGATGCGGTACCACTTCTGCGGAAATTCTCCTGCATCTGCGACTTCTCCGCCACTTTTGTGGCTCCGCACCTGCGGGACCCAAACCGCAGGTGCGGTTCTGATAGAAAACCAGCTGCAGCAGCAAACTCCAAACTCCAAAATCCTTTCGTCAACTATCCGAACTCATCCCGAGGCCCCCGTGACCTCAACCAAAGGCACCAACAAGTCACAAACCACTACCCAAACTTGTACCAATCCTTAAAACACCTAAAATAACATCAAAACCTCGAATTAACCATGGATTTAAGCCTAAGAACTTCAAAATTTTCAAAATACGCTTTCAATCAAAAAGTCTATTAAACCTCGTCCGAATGACCTGAAATTTTGCACACACGTCACATTCAACCCTACGGAGCTACTTAAACTTACGTAATTCCATTTCGACCCTCTGATCAAAATCTCACTATCGGACCGGAAACTTCGAAAATTTGACTTTTGGCATTTCAAGCCTAAATTAGCTACGGACCTCCAAAACACAATCTGATCATGCCCCTAAGCCCAAATTCACCCAACGGAGCTAACGGAACTCTCGGATTTCCATTCTGAGGTCGTTTTCATACTGCTTCGACTACGGTCAACTTTCCAACAATTAAGCTTTTATTTAGGGACTAAGTATCCCAAAACTCTCTGAAACTCAAAATCGAACGTCCCGGTAAATTAAAATAGCAGAAATAAATACGGGGGAAGCAGTTAATAGGGGATCAGGGCGTTAATTCTTAAAATGACCGGCCGGGTCGTTACACAACAGGACACTCGTTGGCTAGTAGGGGAAACACAACACACATTTAGCATCATTTAATTATACTCACATGCAAAGAGTGTGAAGGAACATTTCTACAAAAAATAAAATTACAAAGGATGTGTTCTAACCTGTTCTTGAAACAAAAGAAGAGCCGTTAAGAGGAACATTTTGTTCCTGAAACTCAGTTGCAACTGCAGTAGCTCCAAGAGAAGCAACATTCTAAGAAAGACTACTCCTTTTTGACTCTTGTCTTTTTGTTCGTCGTTGTAGTAACAATGCTTCTTTTTCCCGCAAATATTAGTCAGTACGTTTCATGTCGCCTAAGTTTCATCTCAGCTTTCGATTTTGCGAAGCAAACATGTTTGTTTTTTTGTTCAGAACCCATTATTTCTACAAAACTGCAATTATAAAAATTAAAACACACAAATTAAACAGAAATAGTTTGCTGGTAGAGGTCACATCAGAAGCGAATAGCATCAGATTAATAAAAAATACTATTGAAACTCAAATATATTTGACTTTTATTTTCTCAGCACTACATACAAGAAAAATTGTAACATCATCTAATGGTTCCTTAATTGAACCTGTAGATCTTCCCCAGTCATGGAACTACAACAGATATAAATGGAGCAACTTATACAACTCAACTGCAAGAGTTAGATAGCGCAATCCATATATTCACTATGTTTCTTTAAGAGGAAAATGATATTGATTCCCTACATACATGAAGGTTCAACCAGAAAAGATCTTTGTTTATGCCCTTTTGAGCCCAGTTGATATCTTTCACTGTTGTGATAAAACTAACATATTCAAACTATATAACGAAATCTGAAAACACAATCAACAGAAAACTATAATAGAAAAAGAAACAAACGAATATATGTATTGCCCAATTCAAACAAACTCAGCTGTTTGGAGATACCACAACTCCCTAGAATATCCCTTTAATCTTGATCCCTTTAAAAAAATCTACTTAACTCTTAAAAAAAATTGAAATCCTAAAATCGTAACACACAAGTAAGCAATATGCATAACCTCGAACTCAGTTGAATATCATAAAGCATATATTTCTATCAAAACCACCCAAGCAATCAAATTCTGAATAGAGTAAAAGACAAGAGAGTTATATGCAAAGTAACAAACCACTGAAACTAACAAGCTATCCACATTAACAGAAATGTAACTGAATTAAGCATCACATCACGCAGCTTTTATTTGGCACATTTGGTTGATGATCTTTCTGCATCTTGTAGAGTGACCTAAATACCAAATTGTTGGATGATGAAAACCTTAGTAAAAAATCCTTAAACAACAGGCACACTACAACACTCTCTTGCACTTTTGTAAGAACACACACACACTCACTCACTCTCTCTCTCTCCCTCTCTCAAATAGCCACTGTGATTAGATGGACAAGGAAACAGTAAAGAAAAATAAGCAAGTGCTTTTGTACTACTGTGTTGAAATGGAATAAGTTGCTCGCAAAATTGCTTGTGAATCCGATTCCATTAATCTCCACTCTATTAACTTGAGGTTCTATTCTCACCTATTTATTTTGCTCTCTTGTCTTTGTATCAGCTTGCTATATATGCAAATTATAAATCTTTAGTTGAGGTTCCTCTAAAAAATTTAAGTGGGTCAAATCGAATGGTAAAATTGAATTTAAAAAAACATAGTTCTATGGAAAAAGTAGCATTCAAGAAATTTTAGTCAACAAAACACATGCAAAAGAACAACCATTTCCATGGGTATGACTGGTTGGAGGACGGTCAGAATTAAATGAGTACATGTGCTAAAATATTTCCACTTGGGTTTGTTATTATTGTTGTTGTTGAGTTACAACATTAATGGAATTTAGAGTCTCTTACCTTTTCTTACTCCCTACTAAGCTAATAAACAAAGGTTCCCCATGTCATATTTAATTGAATATAGAGAATCAATAAATACTCTTAGGTTCAGGGATTCAAATACTTTTCTCCTTCGCTGGTGCCAAATAGGTTTGCAGGAAAACGGAGAAGAGCAATTAACATACTGATAACTATGTAAGAACTTTCTTTTGCAGTGTCAACCATCAAATAACACTAACTAAAGATATAATCTAGCGTGTTAAGGTTCTCCAAAGAGCCAAATTAGAGAAGCTACTAAAAATAAGTGAAGTCCCTCGATCCAATAAATTACTTAGTCCAACTCCTTAGGTAATCAGGAGAATGAATTGAAAATTCAATTTCTACAACTAAAATCCCAACAGATTCCCATCTGAAAAAATCAAATCTTCCATAAAAATCAGTGATAAAACAGACTTCTGTTTCAGAGCTACCAACAATGAAGTATTTCATAAAAAATCAGAGGTAAAATAGATTTCTCTTTCAAAACTAAAAGCATAAAGAGTGGGTGTTTTACAGGAGTAAATTATTGACAAATTTCCAACGGTAAAACTACCTTGAAACCTAAAAGAGAAAATTGATTCACGAACCCTAGAAGCTCGAAAAGAACGAAGTGGAAACTAACCAATTTAGATGTGGAGAAGAACGAAGCCAGCCGCACAATTTGTTATTTGTCAATTTCAACAAGAAAGAACAAGTTAGAAGAAGAGTAAGCTTTTAGATCCTCTGGCATACAGATTCTGGGTAATGAAGGGAAGGGAGGAATAAGAGCAGAGATATGAGAGAAGAAGTGTTGAATCCGCGAAGAGAGATCAAACGGTGAGTTAACAGTTGTTAAAGTTGGGTTACAAGTGTGGGCTGCAAATAAAAGACATAAGATAGTATTGGCCCTTATTTACAAATAACAGCAAATAGTTCAGTTGAACTATTATCAAATTATTAAATTTATAGATCAAACAAAGTAATCAACTGTGAGCAAACGAGCACATATACTAAAAGGTAAACAGTGAAATATGAAGAGAAAACCCAAGCAGAACAACGTCTAATACAGAATTTATTCAGCGGTCATAGCTAAACAATTTTATAAAGTGTCAAATATAACCCTAAAAGTGAAGATCATATTTTCCAAAAAGAAGGGCATCGAAGTAATCTAACCTGGACAGATAATCTTTAACTCAAAATATATCCGTGATCCCATAAAAATCTGAAGAGATAATGTTTAACCCCCAACGTTTATTGTTGATCCCCATGAAACACAGGTGTTAGCAAACTAAGAAAACAACTGAAACCACCAAAAAACAAGAGGAGCCTGATGTTACACGTTTGAGAAGAGAAAGAGACATGTATCCCTTACTCTCTTCCTTATTAGGTTTGGAATTGAAATTAGGAACTTTTTTAGGCTGCATCTTTAATTCTTTTCTTAAATCTTTTATGCTATTTTTCATGTTTGTTGATTATAATTAAAATTTTAAAAAATATGTTCAGTTTTTTAGGACTGGCAACGGCAACAGTCCACGAGGTCATTATCCAATTGAAGGATTTAGATTTATTCTTGTTTTCGCTATAGGGACTTAGAGTGTAGTCAGTCACACAATTTTATTCTTAATGATATCTGCCATTAGAAAAGCACTTGGAGTAACGAGAGCAGGTGAAAGTGATACCACTCAATTTGCAGTTTGCATTTCACTGAGTGGAAGTGTAAAAGCCAGAAAATTATTTATCAACACCCACATATTAATTTGAAGTATCGTTTGTATTAGGATTCTATCCATTATTTTCAGCTTTTATTTTTTGGCTGGAGCTTTGCCAAGAAGTTGTTTGGAGCTGATTATTAGAATATTTAAAAAGAAAAAAATTAATGCTTCATAATCTCTATTTAGCATTTATTTTGCTGTTTCTTTTAGGTTCTGGGATAGAAAGAATTAGAATGCATTTTTATTTCAATTTTAAAGTTTCAAATTTTGTGTCGATCTGAGAAAATCTTTATGATAATTTCCTTTATATATGAGAAGCCCTCTAATCTGCTGTGAATGAAACCATAGTTAATGGAGGTGTAACCTTTTTGTCCTCGAATTCTTGTGAATGAGATGAAAAATTTAAGGAGCTGTTAGAGAATGCATAGAAGATGCATGATACAGGTATCTTTCAAAGTTCATTTTCTTTAATGCAAAGGAAAAGAGAAAGAACTCCTAAAAGAAATAATCCAAACGTGATTGTTGTATTTTGGCTGCAGCTTTGGCTATGTATTGGAGTAATTACATACTTTGTTGTGGTTATGATTTTGGAAGCTACTGTTAAAAGAGATGATAATATGTACAACAGGGAGGCAAAATGAAGAAAAAGCCAAGCAATACTTTATACGTTTGAAGAAACTAACAACATAGCTAAGTAATGGCAGCTCTACTTACCATCAATTAGCAACACAAATAGTGTGACATAAAGTTTTCACTTCTCTGGAATTTACTATTGGTAAACTACAGGTAAGTTAGATTTGTTGTTACGCAAGTTACTCCTTGGTCGAAAAATAAAAATACGCCATGATATATCACATGTAATGACGTTGAGATTGCTTTGTGCAATATTTATGCATCTTGAGCTACTTATCTTGGATGATTCGTTATTATGTCATTCATATGCTTGGTTGAAACAGAGCAGGAGGTAGCACTTGAGGGCTTTGCCGGAGTAGTTCGTATGGAACCTGAGAAGGCTGAGTGGTAAGGGGTTTATTAAGTTAATAAACTCCTTATCAAAAAAAGTATGATAGCTGGTATATTGATCAACTACTTCCCATCTGTGTTTGCTTTATAAAGAAAATTGAGTTTTATCTATAGGATTTATGATGTTGAAAATTGGTGGAGTATTGGATGTTGATGTTTTCTTAGTTAGAAAAATTAGTTTGATGATTTTACACAATTAGATTATAAGGCGATAACATTCTATATAATTAACCCCAATATATTCTTCTTTTTTTTAAATGCCTTAGAACTCTAAACTACTCTCTTATTGTTGTAGTGTGGCTGCGATTATGATCTTAGAGGTACTTCCATAGGTACTCTAACTGTCCTCGGTAATCTCGAACTCCACCTTCTCGATTTTGACGGAGAAAAAACGCAAGCCCTCAGTTAGAGTAAATGGAGATCACAAGCGTCAGGCTTAAGAGGTGGAAAGAGAGTGTTGAAGAAGAATAAGAGGACTGTACGTCCAGCTTTTAAACTCAAGGACACAAGGGGAATTTCTTGCCGATAATTCAGGGGGATGTCCAGTTTTGGTGGCTTAACATGCAATCATATACTATATGT